AAATTCTCACTTCCAGCACATTGTTACCGTGTTTCCCTGAAAATAAGACAGGGTCTTATTTTCTTTTGACCCCCAAAATAAGTGCTTGGCCTTATTTTCGGGGAGGTCTTATTATTTTTGAGGTGCAGGAGGCGGCGAGCATGGTCACCTCATGGCTGCTGCTGTGTTGCAACATTTTCGGAGAAGACTTATTTTGGGGGGAGGGCTTATTTTAGTGCATGCGCTCAAAAGCCCCCTTGGGCTTATTATGCGGGGAGGTCTTATTTTTGGGAAAACAGGATAGTCAACACAGTTTTCCCAAATAATGTAAATTAAAGCCTGAGAACTTAGCAAGGGTCCCTTTTGAAACACTTGCCCTTCCCATTATACAGCAATACACCGTGCCATCCCTTATCTAATCTAAGCATCTAATCTAAGCACCAATCTAAGGACCAAATGGATTACATCCCAAGATTCTGAAGGATCTGGCAGACGTAATCTCAGAACTACTGAACAAAATCTTTCAAAAACCCTGGAACAAAGGACTGAAAGAGCTGATGTGGTTCCAATCTACAAAAAGGAAAAAAGTGGATCTGGAAAACTACAGATCAATCACTCTAAAATCAATATCTAGGAAAATTCTGGAAAATATAATCAAACACACATTTGTGAATACCTAGAAATGAACAAGACAATTACTAGAAGCCAGATCATGTCAGACAAACTTTATTGCCTTCTTTGACAAAATGATTAAATAACCGGAAACGGAAAATGCTGTGGACATAGTATACTTAGACTTCAAAGCAGCTGACAAAGTAGATTACAGCCTACTTCTTGGTATGATAGTACAACGTGGGATAGACAATACCACCATCAGACAGATTTACAACTGGCTGACCAATTGCATTCAGCTTGTAGTCCTGAATAGAACTACATCTACATAGATTGAAGCATGAAGTGGGGTACCTGAAGGTTCTGCCTTAGGTCCAGTACTCTTCAACATCTTCATATATCATCTAGATGAGATTATAGAAGTAGAACTGATCAAATTTGCAGAGGACACCAATTTGGGAGAAATAGCTAAAATTTTATATGACAGTCTCAAGATTCAGGAGAATCGTGACTGACTGAAAACTGGAGCTTACCCAACAAAATGCAACTCAGTGAGAAAAGTAAGATCTGATACATACCGTGTTTCCCCCAAAATACGACATGTCCTGATAATAAGGCTATGCCACATTTTTCTGGTGGGCAAAAATATAAGCCCCCTGCAAATAAGCCCCCTGGACAATCCCCCACCTTCGGCCACGCAGAGCGCCCGAAAGTACCAAGCCGCGGGAACCGGGGGTGGGGGGGAGGCAAAAGTGATTGCATTGCTTGGCATCTTTGGGATACTGCTAGATTGGTGAGCAGCGCTGTGCCAGCTGAAGAGGGGGGTTTCCGGGCAGCTGCTCTCTTGTGAGAGGGCTCCCAAAGAGCCGGGCACAGCCTCATGGGTGAATGGCTGTGTTGCGCTGTTGCAGCAGCACAACCCAACAGCATGAAGCGACCACGCTCACAAGCAGCCACCCGGCAAACCCCCTTTCCAGCCGGGCACAGCTCCATTCACTGACGCCAAGCCGCGTGAGGGCCTGTGTGCCGCCACCCGGCTCCTGCAGCTTGGCGCCTTCGAAATGCCAGTGAATGGCGCTCTGCCAGCAGCTGGCCCACAACCATAGAGTGTATGCCCAGAGTGGCCACTGCTGGAAAATTCGGTTTGGAAGCTGCCAAAAAAGCCATGCTGGGATGGCACTGGCGGTGGCAGCGGAGGTGCCCTAGCTCTGCAGGGAGAGCTGCGCCAGGGCATTGTGAGGCTGGGAGGCCCGTGAGCGAGAGCGGAACAGCCGCTCACGCAACCCTCCTCTCTAGCTATGCAGAGTGCCATTCACTGGCATTTTGAAGGCGCCAAGCGGTCACGCGGCTTGGCGATACCCCTAGGTCAGTGAATGGCACTGTGCCTGGCTGGAAAGGGGATTTGCCAGGTGGCTGCTTGTGAGTGTGGTCGCTTCATGGCTGTTGTGTTGCGCTGCTGCGACAGCACAACACAGCCATTCGCCCATGAGGCTGTGTCCGGCTCTTTGGGAGCCCGCTCGCAAGAGAGCAGCCGCCCGTCAACCCCAAAACAATAAATCCTCCCCTCATAATAAGGCCCAAGCCATATTTTGTGAGTAAAAAGAAAATAAGACCCTGTCTTACTTTGAGGGAAACACGGTAGGCAGGAAAAAACAGACACACAGGTACAGAATAGGTGGTACCTAGCTCACAATAGCAACTGTGAGAGGAATCTAGTAGACCATAACTTAGGTGTGCTGCAGCTGCCAAAAAAGCTAATGCAGTCCTAGGTTGGACCAACAGAGCATCCACAAGAAGTGATAATACCACTTTATACTGCACTAGTGAGGCCACACGTGGAATATTGCATACAGTTTGGTTGCTGGGATATAAAAAAGATGCTGGGACCTTGGAAAGCATTTAGAGAAGAATAGCAAAGATGATAAGAGGTCTGGAGGCTAAATCATACTATCAATGATTGAGGGAACTAGGTATGCCTAATCTAATGAAGAGAAGGACTAGGGGTGATACAATACCAGTTTTCCAGTAATTATGGGCTGCCACCAAGAGGGTCGACCTATTCTCCAAAGAGGGCAGGTCAAGAACTAACAGATAGAAAATCATTAAAGAGAAATCCAACTTAGAACTAAGGAGAAATTTTCTGACAGTGAAAATAATTAATCAGTGGAATGGCTTGTCTCCAAAAGTTGTGGGTGCTCTCTCACTGGAGGTTTTCAAGAAGAGATTTGACAGCCATTTGTCCAGAATGGTATACAATCTTCTGCTTGAACAGGGAGTTGGACTAAAAGACCTCCAAGGGTCTTCTATTACTCTATGTTCTATCTTTTTCACCCTGTCCCCCAAGGTCTTTCCCACATACCTCCTGGGCTAAGTTATGCTTTGCTTATCCCCTTACCAACATTTGCAGCTTCTCAGCCTTTCTGTACAAGAGGACAGAAATCCACCTTGTCTGCTATTCATAGGGAAAACTGGCAGGAGTCAAGAAAGAAAATATACTCATGAGTTGGGATGGTAATAATTTTCACCTGCCTATGAACAAATAGGAAGTGAAGAATAATTGTTTTAATAACTTCTAGAAAAATCATAATTTGTTACCATGCAAAGGTTCTTCTAATGTGTTTAGAGATAAAATTATTTGCTCAGTGCTCCTTGCATGAAATTTTCTGCTCTTTATACACTTCTGCCACCTCCCACTACATCATAGAAAGGCAACACTTAAAATAGTTTAAGCCTATTAAATCCATCCCCCATCTGATAATGCTATAGGCTGAAATGCTATAGGCTGAGGCCTTGTTTGTATAAATGCTGTTTTGTATTTATGACTCAGAAAATTCCACCGAGGTTTTGACTGATCAAACAAAAATCAGGAAGTTTGTGTCCTTTGTGCTAAACATCTAAAACCAAGCAACAATTGACTAATTGAATGTTTTTATTTACTGCAGTATACAGTATTATGTTTTTTAATAAGTAAACATGAAAAATATTACTCTTAAATTGTTTCATTCAAATGATTTCATATCTCACTTGGCACTCAATAGTGATAAAATCCTATGCAACGACATAGGAGAGGCAAACTGGATATTAAAATACAGCTTAGGAAGAAAGCCACACCCTACAATCTTTTTTTTTTCTAGAATGCCTATAGAAACTGGGATTCTGCTCCAGGGTTTCTTAACCAGTCTTTCAAGAGCTGGCTATTGCCATGTTTTGCTGAAACTGAATAAATTCCTGTCTGCTGAAGGATCTGAACCTCGATTTGCTAAAACAAGTTTGCTACTAGTAATCTGTAGTGATTCAATCTCTTTTTTCTTAATAAAGNTACAATATAAATGATCCCAACATTTAGTATATCTCATTGAAAATGAAGGAATAAATAGTGATAGTTAAACAAATGAGGTACAATGATAATAATGTATATAAACATGTTATTTTAATTGTTGATTGGGAGCTGATTGGGAATTTTATATGAGATGGGCAGCTATATAAATGCTTTAAATAAATAAAGCAATATAGCTTAACTCAAAGGAGACTACTTCAAAAATAATCAGTGGAGCAGAAACAAAATTACTATAATCTTAGAGGAATGGAAAACAGACAAGAGTTTCCAGAAAGGATTCATTTGCATCCTCTTATCCAAAGCAGCCAAGCACTCAAATTTCAGAGAGCAATAATTTTTTTTGTCTTTGAGGAAACAAGTTATCCATTGTATGGTTTCTTCCTACTCCTCAACTTTCAAAGTGAAACACAGGATGAAACATTTGGCCCTGTTGAACCACACACAGTTTGGGGTCTTTTAAAATGTCTGAAAGAGTTTATTATAATTGCATATGAATATATGTTCTTTCTCTCTCCCTCTCATACACACACCTATGTGAAATTGTTGTAATGCTGAAGTACGACATAAATCATGAGAACAGTTCAGTATTCATCATTATGCCTGCCAAAATTTTTACAAAACTCAAGTCTAATATAAAATGGTTCATTTTGTAAGCTCCCTTCAAATTTCAAAAATATATTCTTTTCATTCAAAAGCTTATTCCAGCACCTCCCTTTTTCCTCCTGGGACCCCCAGGAATTAAATGCTTTTACTTACATGTTCTTTCATTTGTTTTGCTACGGTTTCTGACATCATGATGCAAGAGATGAGAGCCACCAAGATGAAGTACAAGGCATACATAAAGCGGGTGCTGGTCGATTGTTTTATCTTTGGGAAACAGCTACAGCAAAGGGAACATCCAGCAGTACCACAGCAACAGGCCAACTACAGGAGTAAAAAAGGGAAAAACATCACTTTGACATGGCTAAATAACAGCAAAATCTGCTGCACCTCCCATTCCATGCATTTGTAACTCTCCTTTCTCTTTTTCTCAAAAATCTTTAATAAAAATATCCTGAGAATTTAAAAAAATGTAATGATATCTTTTTTTGATAAAAGAAAATCCTAAATTAACAATTTTTAAGCAACAGAATGTCTTAGAAAGGGCAAACAGTGATATTTATATATGGGCTCATAATACCATCCAAATGGTTACATTTTATTAAAATAGTATGCTTCTATATCAGGTTGAGATAGAATTACAAACTTGAATTCTTTTTTTGACCCATCTTGGGCTATATAAAGTTTGTTTTTGAAATTACAGACCGTATTGAGACACTGAAAAGAGAGCAGAGAAGAGCAACAAAGATGGTTAGGCAACTAGAGGCTAAAACATATAAAGAACGGTTGCGTGAATTGGGTATGTCTAGTTTAATGAAAAGAAGGACCAGAGGTGACATAATAGCAGTGTTCCAATATCTGAAGGGCTGACATAAAGAAGAGAGGATCAACCTAGTCTTCAAAGCACCTGAAGGCAAGGCAAGAAACAATGGATGGAGACTAATCAAGGAGATGCAACCTAGAACTAAGGAGAAATTTTCTAAGGGTGATAACAATTAACCGGTGGAATGGCTTGCCTTCAGAAGTTGTGGGTGCTCCATCACTGAAGGCTTATAAGAAGAAACTGGACAGCCATTTGTTTGGAAGGGTAATGTCTCCTGCTTGAGCAGAGGGTTTGACTAGAAGACCTCCAAAATCCCTTCCAATTCTGTAATTCTATTTTGGGTGGTAAGTCAGATCTGGCTCATAGGCTATAAGTTGCCAACTCTTGCTTTAATAAATTCTCACTTCCAGCACATTGTTACCGTGTTTCCCTGAAAATAAGACAGGGTCTTATTTTCTTTTGACCCCCAAAATAAGTGCTTGGCCTTATTTTCGGGGAGGTCTTATTATTTTTTAGGTGCAGGAGGCGGCGAGCATGGTCACCTCATGGCTGCTGCTGTGTTGCAACATTTTCGGAGAAGACTTATTTTGGGGGGAGGGCTTATTTTAGTGCATGCGCTCAAAAGCCCCCTTGGGCTTATTATGCGGGGAGGTCTTATTTTTGGGAAAACAGGATAGTCAACACAGTTTTCCCAAATAATGTAAATTAAAGCCTGAGAACTTAGCAAGGGTCCCTTTTGAAACACTTGCCCTTCCCATTATACAGCAATACACCGTGCCATCCCTTATCTAATCTAAGCATCTAATCTAAGCACCAATCTAAGGACCAAATGGATTACATCCCAAGATTCTGAAGGATCTGGCAGACGTAATCTCAGAACTACTGAACAAAATCTTTCAAAAACCCTGGAACAAAGGACTGAAAGAGCTGATGTGGTTCCAATCTACAAAAAGGAAAAAAGTGGATCTGGAAAACTACAGATCAATCACTCTAAAATCAATATCTAGGAAAATTCTGGAAAATATAATCAAACACACATTTGTGAATACCTAGAAATGAACAAGACAATTACTAGAAGCCAGATCATGTCAGACAAACTTTATTGCCTTCTTTGACAAAATGATTAAATAACCGGAAACGGAAAATGCTGTGGACATAGTATACTTAGACTTCAAAGCAGCTGACAAAGTAGATTACAGCCTACTTCTTGGTATGATAGTACAACGTGGGATAGACAATACCACCATCAGACAGATTTACAACTGGCTGACCAATTGCATTCAGCTTGTAGTCCTGAATAGAACTACATCTACATAGATTGAAGCATGAAGTGGGGTACCTGAAGGTTCTGCCTTAGGTCCAGTACTCTTCAACATCTTCATATATCATCTAGATGAGATTATAGAAGTAGAACTGATCAAATTTGCAGAGGACACCAATTTGGGAGAAATAGCTAAAATTTTATATGACAGTCTCAAGATTCAGGAGAATCGTGACTGACTGAAAACTGGAGCTTACCCAACAAAATGCAACTCAGTGAGAAAAGTAAGATCTGATACATACCGTGTTTCCCCCAAAATACGACATGTCCTGATAATAAGGCTATGCCACATTTTTCTGGTGGGCAAAAATATAAGCCCCCTGCAAATAAGCCCCCTGGACAATCCCCCACCTTCGGCCACGCAGAGCGCCCGAAAGTACCAAGCCGCGGGAACCGGGGGTGGGGGGGAGGCAAAAGTGATTGCATTGCTTGGCATCTTTGGGATACTGCTAGATTGGTGAGCAGCGCTGTGCCA